ACGGAAACTTGTATCGATTGTGGCTTCAAAGACAGCTAACTTTTTATGCAGATGGTATCGCTGAACAAACTGATGTCAGTTGACGAGCATGGTGTCAATTTCGAAAGCCCTCATACTGCTGAGCAGATGTCCTTACCGCCGGAAATGAGCATCGAGATACAACAGGTACAAAAAGTGTTGACTAAGTGTGATCATTTTAAAAAAGCATTTTTTCTAGGCCCTCGGCGCTGATATCATGATGCAGCTGGATCATGTCATTCATGTACTCACCACGGGGGAAATTGTTGAAGAAGCTATGGAGAGAAGCATAAGGTAAGTATCCTGGAGTAAGGACAGCTTATCGCTCCAATAAAGTCTTTAGCCTATTTTCGGCATGTTCATGATATTTGAGATGGCTAGACCGCTGCGAGAAGGCTCATACGCGTACGGATCAAGCGCTCTTCCCGATTGTGCAAGGTGGTTTGGATCTCGAGTTGCGGAAAAGATGCGTTGAAGAAATGGCAAAGCGAGCAAAGGTTTGGGATATATCAGTTCAATTTTTCAAAATGACTGGAAGCTTAGAGACTGGATGCTTTGCTGCATACCTAGCTTAGTTCAGAAACAATGTGAGATCGCCCTTGGTGAATTTCCTTTCATAAAAGAATGTTTTGTGCGCATGCTTCGGCTAACTACTCAGCTTATCTGTTACTATAAGGCGACCAACTCAAAATTTATGAAGTGGTGGATGAAAGGTGCTCATCATGTCAGATGCAATTAGTGCGCGATATTGCCTAGTCTCACAGATAGGGCCTCCTATTAGATAAATCGGTCTCCAGATAAGTCCCAATTCATCTGACAGTCTTCGGACATATGTGACAAGGTTTTAGGGCTGAACGGAAAAAAGACATCGGCGGGGCGGACTTATCTGAAGGGTCTATAAAACGATCTTATCTGGGTCAAAAAAGCGAACTTTGTAGAATTTTAGGATGTACTGTTTTGGACGTGCACCTGACAGCAAAATGTAAATCGTAGAGGATTTAGAAATATGTGGAGGCTTGCGATAGATCTCGTTATTTTCTAGTGCTGCAAAAATCGTAGCAGCTGAAGAATACATCCGGCGGTTCGTGGTATCAAATATGCTATGCTTATGTGCAGAAACATTCTTTCAAGAAGGCTCAAGATTGGGATATCATAGGTTCCATACCTACTTTATGTTTTGCTCATGGCCATCGCACTTATGCTCAATCGTCTTAAAAGCCATAACTTGAAAGAGGCGATTTGGAAAGTAAAGTCTAGATACACTGATTGTGACTAACACCAGTATAAAGAGTGGAAACTCCAAAAACGGGATCAATCGGAGGCTAAGATATGATCTATCCTAACTGTCTTTATCACGGGAAGATCACAGTAGTTTTTTCTTGCAACTATCGAGTAAACTCTACCAGGACTGGAAGGGGCATTCAGGATTGAGTAAGTAGGAGAAACAGAAGTTTTACATCAGCAAGTATAAACATTATAGTTTAAATCCTGAATGACAGAATCAGTCGCACTCGTGCTTATGGTAAGAAAGTCAAAGCTAAGAAGGTCCAAAGGAACATGCTCCAGCCGACATATAGTACATTGCAAATACGTATAGGGGTGCAGACTGCGTGAGCGGTCAAAATGAGCCAGTCAAAGCTTTTCTGCAACGAAAGATGTATCATGATGTCTAAACCAAAGAAGAGAGTGTAGTTACTGTAGGCGCTTGCGATGAGAGAGAAGTGCGGTATCAATTGGCTATCTGTGTACTTTGAAAGATTATGGGAAG